ATGAGTTTCTTACACCTCTCTACTGGAATTTTGGACCACTCTTCTTTTGCAAACTGTTCCAGGGCCTTCAGATTTCAAAGATGCCTTCTCCCATCTGCTGTTTGGAGATCTCTCCAGAGGTGTTCTATGCTTATGGGATTCCGACCTGGACTCATTGATGGCCATTTCAGAACTCTCCAGCGCTTCGTTTGTAACCATTTCTGAGTGCTTTTTGAAGTGTGTTTCGGGTCATTGTCCTGTTGGAAGACCCATGACCTCTGATGGAGATGCAGCTTTGTGACACCGGCCACAACACTGCACCCCCAAATTCTTTGGTAATTATCAGATTTCATGATACTGTTCACACAGTCACGGCATTCAGTGCCAGAAGCAGCAAAGCAACTCCAAAATATCTTTGAACCTCCACCATGTTTGATTGTAGCGACTGTGTTCTTTTCTTTGAATGCCTCATTTCTTTTTCTGTAAACAGTGCCATGATGTCCTTGACCAAAAAGCTCTGCTTTTGTCTCATCTGTCCACAGTATGTTCTCCCAGAAGGATTGTGGCTTTGTCACATAAGGTTTGGCATACTCCAGTTTTGCTTTTTTTTATGCCTCTGTGTCAGCAGTGATGGCTTCCTTGGTCTTTTCATTCAAATGGCAATGGATAGTGCGAGCTGACACTGTTGTACCCTGCATCTGCAGATCAGCTTGAATTTGTTGGGAAGTTAATCTTCAAACACCATTCAAACAACCCTTCATTGTAATTTTTCGGTAATTTTGCTCTTCCGTCCACATCCAGGGAGGTTAGCTACAATGCCATGGGCTTTAAACCTCTTAATGATATACAGGTAGTGTATAGTGGACACAGGAACATTAAGATCGCTGGAGGTGGACTTGTAGCCTTGACATTGTCAATGTTTTTCCACATTTTTTTTCTCTCAAATCCACAGACAACTCTTTACACTTCATTCTTTTCCCCAATGTCAGTGTCACACACAACACAAAGGTTGAATCTTCTTTTCTCCATCTTAACGGGTTGCAAGTGTGATCACTATATTGCCCACACCTCTTACTTGCAACAGGTGTGTCTAAATACAAATTAAAGGTGCATCACATGCTTGAAAAGCAATTATTTCTTACAATTTAGACAGGGTGCCAGTAATTTTGGCCAGTGCATTTTGGGGTTGCTGTGTGGGATCTGACTTTTCTTCCCTATTTTTTTTTTTTTGTGTTGTTCCAATGCAGACCAAAGAAATGAACATGTGAGTACCAAAACATTTGCAACTGCAACAATTTTCCGAGAAAAGGGTTACATTTTCTTTTTTTTTTTCTTTTCTTTTCTTTTTCTTCAGGCAGTTTAATGGGAGAAAAGTGTTGAGCCGTTTACAAGACTAGGATCCATACAGATCTGAACCATGCACTCACTACAGGAAAGTCATCTCGGGATGAAGTCAGGGATAATATTTGTAAAGCAGCTAGAGAGGCTTGGAAGCATCCTCACCTCATTCAGTCTGACAGTGTAATCCCGTCTGGGTTTATTTAGAAGACAGTCCCGCCAATTTCCATGGGACTCTCCCAAATATATGTGCATATGCAACCATGCATATGTACCTGGGAATGTTTTGTTGGTAATTTTGAGCAAAAAAGTCTTGTTCAAAAATCCCTCCACATTTAATAGGACTTAATCCACTGGTGCATAGAATTGTGGCCACCATGTACCTTTTCTACACCTTAGCTTTCTTTTTTATTCTTTTTTCTTTTAAGGGTAGGGTAAGGTAAGGGACAACGGGGGACAAGTGGGATGGAGGTACCCTTGGAGGGGGTGGATTTGGATACATTACAGATCATTATTTTCCATAGTAATTCTATACATTCTATCTAGTAATATTTCTACATATCAGAAAGAAATATAAAGAGTGAGCAAAAGGGGAAATCAAATTTGGACTGTTATATTATTGTTCTGATTATTGATTATATGTATCCCAGTGTGAATGGGTTCATTGGTTGTGAAGTGTGACCCCTGTCTTGGCGCTGGAATAATAGTCAGAGGTTGATCCATATTTTTAACACAACTGGATTTAATTCCATGGGCTCGAACGGGTCCATCGAACTTAACTCAGGCAACGGATGATAACGCCGCACCTT